AACATATGGGAGTAGAAGGAATTCACCAAATAATCCCTTTACCAAATGAAGCAAGATTTAAAGATACACCCAAGGGGAATTGGCAAAGGTCATAGAGCAAGCAGTAAACCAAGGGTTTAAAAACAAAAGATTTACTAAGGAAGCATATTCTGAACGTCAGCCTTGGGGCTGTGTTACCTTTTTGTGCTGAAATCTCTGAGATTAAGCTGCCTCCTCTAAGGTGTCTGTAAAATGTCCAGTACACTTTGGGTGCTATATAAATAAGACCAACAGGAAACATTTAAGCCACTTGCCAGAGTATCCATAGATCAGTTAAAGATTACCAAACAAAACCCCCTTCCTACTGAACCAGTCCTTCTTTTAGACATACAGAAAAGGCACCTGCTACAAATAATGAGCAACACTAGAATTCACAGTGGTACTGCATTAGTCTCTTCGGTCCGCCGCTACTTCTACAATCCCATTTGAAGCACAGTTACTAGTATAAATGTCAACTGACAATATTTTATAAAGGACAATCAATATGTAAGATCACAACCCAGTTGCACATAAATTTAGAAAAGCACAAACATTAAATTACACTAAAGATCTAAGAAATAGATGCTAGATTAATGCTCCAGTTCAACTAGGATGACAGCACCAGAGAACGAGTATGAAAGAATCAGGCCTGACTTATTTTTCAAAGCAACTGACTCTGTTGACTCTAGAGGCTTTGAAATATAAATGTAAAAGCTGTTTCTTCCGGTTGTACAAAGTTCCTTTTGATGTGCTTTGTAAAACTGAGCTGCAGAATGCTTCCCATCGATTCCAGGCCTTCCCTCTGTGATCATCCATGTTAAAGAGGCTCTATTATAAATATATAGCGGCTCTCTCTACAGAGATTTTCAAATAGACCACATTTGTAACTTTTTTATTCAGTTGAATTCACACATGAGCGTCAATAAATATTTTACATTATATCTGTTTATTGGTCACTTTGCTTGCTGTGTGTTTTTGTTGCAGGTAGATAGTTCAGAGGTTCTCTGTCCATAGATTGAAAGTTACAATATGAAAAAATTCACATTCTTAATTGGAACATTCAGAACAATTTATTGAAGTCAACCTCAAGCAAAATTTTAAATCAGTGGAATGTCATTAAAAACCTTTCCAAATTAATCCTCACAGAAGCAAAAACACATCTGAATTCCAAAGTATTTGTAAAATAAAAAAGGCAACATCTCAGTAAATATAATGTACAAAAATTATATGATCCTACCATCACAACATTCAGTAAGAAGCTAAAATATTACAGGCAATTCTAAATACACTATAACTAGTTGACAATAAGCTATCTATATACAGGTTAACCAAGCTTTACAGGTTTCACACTATGCAAGAGAACATAGGCCAAACAACAACCCCCCTCCCCAATATTGTATATCTCAAAGTCTATGCGGCAACATCAAGTCATAATACAGTAATGCCCCAGTGGAACATCCCCAGGGAAAATTAACACTACTTTGTTAGTGTCAAGAGCTTCTAGCCAAGTTCTAGAAACTCTTAAGATATTGACTTTAGTGAATATTGATGCTTTGCTATTAAAGACTCAAGTGATTTAGTTAAAATAACATTTCACAGAATCTACAAAGTTTGTTACAGATAAACAAAGTCTACAGAAATAACGACTCTACAAAGGTCATTGTTACAGATAAAGATTACATGGAAATGAAAACAGAATCTGTAGGTATCTGTGTTTGTTGTGCAATATCACTTGTGTAGGTACAAATGGGTTACATTTTAATAGCAACCCCAAATATGCACATACCCTTATACAAAAAGGACAATTATTACTAGCCAGTTGTAATAGTTATTGTATCGTCTTGGTTTTCAGTGGCAACGATTAGTTTGCTTATAAATTAAAAAATATGACACTAGAAATGAGATACGGATCAATATTAATTAATAGGAAGCAAATGTATTTCCTCCAGTCTGTTTGTAAATCAAAAGTGAACAAGAATTCCTTAAAAACGTCCAGTGCTAGGCTATGGGACAAATGTTTGGGAGAGGATCAAACATATAGCCATAGTTGCTTTTCAAGCTAGAAGAGACACCATTAAAAATGGTATCTCTCACTCTTGTGCACAAATGCAATCAGTACCACATGACAAACAGTGAATGCATGGCTTTGGCAAATTCATATCTATTGTCCCTTTTTGTTTTTATATTGTCCTATACGAAGTACAGACATTTTCAGTTTTATAATCCTCCCACCCTCACTAGGGTAAAAGTACCTGAGTTTGCCACTCAGGAGTAGAATAGAATAAGAAACAAGCATTTTTTTCTTTTTCTGAATGACATCTTGAATACATCCAGAATTTCAGGAGTGTATCATAAGTGCAAATGTCTTTTACTATACAAAAATAAGTGGTGTGGGGTGAGGGAGTTGATACAATATTATGAAGTAAAGGACATCAAAAAGTTGCTGGTGTCTCATGCAATACACTTCTCATTAAGAGCATACATAGGTCTGAGACATCTGCTTTGAAAAAAATCTCTCCATTTTGCCTTGAATACACTGTACACTGGGAGTGGAAAGTAATTTTTAATTCAAGTTAAGGGGGGAGGTAAAGAGACTTTTGATGTCGCATATAAAAATGTTATCTATGTATAAATAAAATAGCTGTAAAAATAATGAACTGCAGAGCTTCAAGTACATTAAACCCTGAATTCAATGAGGCAGAGGTTTCAATGTTAAAGTGACTACTTCGTACCAGCGGCAGACATTCTCATTCCCCTACCCCACCTCCCTAACCCAACCCAGATAACTTTTTTTTGTAAAGTTCAGTATATACATATTTTACGTCTAGACGTTCACTTTCTATTATGTCTAGTAAGTGTGTCTGTCTGATTCCACCTGGAAACTAAGATATAACAAGTTTTTAGTGGAAAGGCCAAACAAAACATTCTAACCCTCTCAGTCCATGTTAGACTCTCTAAGCCTCTGGTGGTAAATGTAGTGAAGATAAATTCATCCAGAAAAAGTTGCCCTTACAATTAGTTGTCCTGAGCTGCCAACGCCTTCCACTCTTACGTCCTACTCACATGACGACAAGCCAATTTTACAGACTATCGGAAAACTGCAGTAATTAATCCTTACACCATTAAGGCATGGTCCACAGAACCTCTGATCTGAACTAAGATGCATACTCTATAATAAAAGGGGTCCAGTAAAGTAAACCAGAAACATCTGTGCAGGGCAGCTCAGGTATTGCATTACTGTGTAGCCAGCATAATAATATCATCTAGAGTCAGGTGTTTGCTGAAAGTTTGACCCTATTTTAAAACTAAACAGACAAAAAATCCAAATGAGGGGGAAAAACAATGTAATTAGCACCTCCTTCACTTAAGAAAGGGCTGCCAGATTATTATATACAGTCAATTAGAGCACTTTATTTTCCAGCCAGGAAGTAACAACCAACCACAGCATTCTCTTCTTTGCAGCAAATTGTAGGACTCTGGACTAAAACTTCCAAACAAACAAAAAACGCCTCTCTCACATTCTTCCTACAGCTCAATTCAGAGACACTGAAAGTTGAATTCAACAGCCCAAAATACACAGAAATACTGATAAATCAAAATGTCAATATTTACAGTAACAAATTTATAGCAACAAATTTCTGCTTTACTACAAAAGTTACGTTATTCCTCCATTCACTTTAAATAATGTTACAAAAACATGGTTAAAATTTGTTTTCAGCATATTCTGTGTTCTGCATACAAAACCATCACCTAAATAAAGATAATCCCCAGTTGTCACCAATTTATTTCAACCCAATGGTCTCTTATTTCACTAAAAAGCTTCCTGATGCTTTGGAAATTCTCCCTCTGTCGCAGTTAGAAAACCAATTCAAGTTTTATATTCATAATTATACATATTTAAAAGCTATCCTTGTCTTCACACCATTAATGTCTCAGCCCAGCTGTTGGCTGCTTTCAGTTACAGTTTTCTTATGTAAAGGATTAGATAAGAGAGGACAATCAGCAAGAACTTTGAAACAGAAGATATAAAGTGACATGGCAGAGGAGTGACAACTGACTCCATGACCCTCGCAGCATTATATGATTTGCTAAACTTTCAGAGTACCTTCATATACTTAGTTACGCCCAACATGCTGATATGTCATAGAATATATTTTGATAATTTCACATGGCAATTAATATTTTTAAACTGCTGTCAGCTCATTGACATCTCAAATGCTTAAGGCATTTTGACATAGCCATTCCTCCCCAGTCAATGACAACACAGTGTTGACATACTATAGAAGAAAGCACCCGGGAACACTTTATCATACAATATTTTAAAAGTTCAGCACTTTCTGGCTTACCATATCCTAAAATCATCTGAACAACAGAAAACCTAACATTTTATTATGCAATGTAAACGGATCAGGTCTTATGGAACCTACCAAGGAAAGAGTTGTGGTTGGAATTTTAGAAAAGGGTGAAAACCTTCTCCATTAAGAGCTTCTTTTTTATTTATCACAAAAAAGCTAAGAAAAATAAAATCCTGTTTTGTTTAAATATTTTTTTTAAATACCAAAATATAGCACTGCTTACAAGCAAGATTAGTGTTTTAGACATTCACTTCAGTTTTGGCCATAACAGGACAAGTGATCTGAATTTTCCATAAGCACTCTGAACTATAAACTGACCCAAAGATCACATGAGAGATCTATACTATGTAATAAAACAAAAAAACCCAAACAAACTGAGTTTTCTGGAAAGGGATCTGTAAATTGTTCCAAGAGGAATAGCTGCCAGGTCAGTGAAGTGGCATTTCAGGTGCTTCAACGGCTGTAGTGTATTTTGTTAATTTTGCAATTGCACAAAAAAAAGAAAAAAAAGTACAAATCTCTCTCTCTCTCTCTCACACACACACACACACACACACACACACACACACAC